CCCCAAAACCCCAAAACCCCAAAACCCCAAAACCCCAAAACCCCAAAACCCCACTCTATACAGGCTAGATTGAAACCTATTAAATGAAGTCATGATTTTAATACTATCCACATCCATTCCTTAATTTTCGGGGCTTTCTTCAACTTCCAAAATTTTAGTATTTTCGAAACCATAAGCTGAGAGAGCACCTCTGATTCTAGATTGAGTAAGTCCGCAGTCTTTCATATAAATACTGTCAAGATTTCTGGTCATATTTGTTATTTTTGATAGCCCTGAAATAATATTTTCAAATTTCTTGAAGTTAATAGTCCAGAGTCCTAATCTTTCACTCCCGCAGCCATTAAAACTAAGTTCTTTAATACAAGGGTTCTCAATGCATTTTAGGTTTGGCTCATTAATCATCTTTAAAAATCATTGACAAAATTCAACAAAGAAGGTATCTTTGCAAGCTGCTAGCAAAGGCGTTATCTGTTTGTCACTGATCTCAAAGTTAAATAATTTAATACTCTTGGTAACATTCAGTAAGGCTACTTCTAAGGGTTGGGAGTAATATTCAATGTTCATAAGCTTTGGTACTTCTTGAGTCGATGCATTAAATTCAAAAGATTGTAAACATGGTGGTGCTGCAAACTCCAAAAAGTTCTGAACTGCTTCGCTTTCTTCAGGAACATTTAATAAAGCTATCTTCTCACCATCAGGCATTGGATTTTCACAACAAGCATTTACAAACCTCCTTGCATTATTTGTATCCATTTTTAGTTCAAGTTGGTATTTGTTATCTTTAATGCTTGAGTTTCTGAAAAATTTTCTCCAAATTTTGTTAACCTCACAATATGTCAGAGCACATCAGGCCATCTCTTCATCGTCTTCCATTATTGCCCACATACTTTCCTTTTTGTCAGGCTCTGGCTCCTAAAAGAGTTGTTTCACCAGCTGGTAACAAAAGGGAGGTCTTAAGCTAACAATTCCAGAAGTTTAGCAGATTCATTTCCCAATAAAATCAATCAATAACGAAGCAAGCAATAACTTACTTTCTTTGGAGGTGGAGCTAGATTCATGAGCGGACTTGAAAGTTTGTTGTCTTCATTATTTATGGTGGGTGTCAGAGTCATTCTTCTTGCTCTCTGCGGCTTTGGCTTAGGATCCAATGGCTTCAACTCTTCTTGTACTATATAAATGATAGAGATACCAAACAAAAGATTTTGGTCAGGATTTCCTGGAAATTTATATTTGGATTTATTATGACTTACTCTTCTTTTTCTCTTCTTCTAAAAGAGCCATCTTTTGCTTCATTTCATACATTTCAAGCATTACTAAAGCTTTTAGACGTGACGCTACCTTTTTCAAGTTCTTCAGCACTGTCACAGTGTCACAAAGTCTCATCTAGCTCCAAATCGTTTGAAAATTTTCTTTCTAAACCGGATACATTAGGAATCAACCATTAAAATTTATATGGTAATAAATATCGCAAATATTTTGAGTAATTAAGAAACCCAATGAAGCACCCTACCTTTGATTAATTTGTTGATCTCTAAATCTTCTCTATTGTCCAGGTACTCAAACCAAAGATCATCAGTACGGATCAGCTCAAGAACAGAAAGAGCTTGTTGGTGACAATGAGGCATCACCCTCCATTCCTTGTTGATATAAGCATCGTGTAAGTCTTGGTTGATGCTCTTCAGTCTTTCGTTATACATCTTATGAGCCATCTGAACTTCTAAGAACTTTTTCTTTGGATAGTGTTTCTCTGACCAAACAAGCATCCCTTTAATACGGTACGCTCATCTTCGGAACAGTACCTTAAATTCGTGATAAGTGGGGTACTCTATGAGATCTTCTTCGCTAAGAAATCTATCTTTGCATTCAAATCAGTAACACTCATCTACTCCAGTTTCAATATTTTTCTAGATGTTAAATGAAAGGGTTACTCTATAAAAGATTCCTTCCCTTCCTCATTCTGCTGAGCAAGTGTTTCTATGTGCGTGCATTTTGACTAAATATTACTAATTCAATATTGCTTGGTATTTATGGGGTTTTGGGGTTTTGGGGTTTTGGGGTTTTGGGG